GTGTGATTACATGTACCTTAGTTTCAAGCTTATAGCAAAACCTCTATGTATCTTTGTAGACATAAAAGCAGATTTAGGCCACTGGTTCAGTGTACAATAGGAAACTCACTTTGTAAGTGGTGATAAACCAGAGATTTTTCCTTAGGCAAACTATAATAAAACCTGTTGAATTCCTACAGCCGTTGGCTTGAATATGGTGTTTGGAGAATTAGTGTTAACTGTGCAGGCTCAAACTGTAGGTACCTGACAACTTATAAACGTTCCCTTGTGCTCCCTGTGTATGAGAGTTGAACTTCCAGAGCGGACATTGCAAGTGCTCCTTAACTGTGGTGAAGAACCCAAGGTAGAGATCTGAAGTTGTGGGATGAATTTCAACCACCTGATTTTCCTTCAATTGGGAACCACAGAGGTTAATGTTGTGGATGCCCATGCCCTTACCTAATGCCTTTCCTCGTGCAGATTCATCTCTGTATAATCTATTAGTGCCTACAGCTTTCATGTCCCAGTAATGGCAATTATAGTTTGTCTTGGAAACCCATACTGTAGGTAAGAGAAGTTCCATGCTACCAAGAAACTCAGCATTTGAGCAAAACTTGTGTTCAGTTTTGTCCCGTTGTTTGTACCTGCTCGTAAGACAAGGATTTTTTGATGAAATTTGAGGTATGAGAAGACCCCATTAAATAAACAAGTACAATAGATCTTTTCTTTCAGAACCACTGAGATATTTCAAGTTGTTTATATACAAAGTTAATCCTCTCTCTTTTCTTATAAGAGGCACAGCTCTGAACTGCAGGTTGGCTGAGCCTAGGGCAGGAACAGAACACATTATAATAAGGCTGTGCTACACCCTTTCTTATTAAACTTTACTTTCAGGGTGGAGGAGGCATTATTTTATTGTGTAGATCTTTACTCCTTGACTGAGCTATATTTTTCTGTGGTTCTGTACTACACAAACTTGTTGCTTTAATGATTCTGCATGGAATTTAATCAGAACAGAACTAAATTATGAATAGTCAAGGTAAGTCATACTTTAGAGGTTTTTTTGTCTCTCTGAAAGGCATGCTTGCCTCTTTTACATCAAGAGAAAGACAATTAAAAGGATGCACAGTAATCGATTATTGTCAGACCTTCAGGACAGGAGTAAAGGACTGTTCACTCAGTTCATTGAGCAGTTCATTTGAATTGATGGAGAATATAATTCTCTTTTTATGTGATCTCTTGGATTTTTCATGAAGTCTCAAGCGTGGATTTTACAAATGAGTATGTTTATCGTCACTGGGTTGAACACATAGCTTTCAAGATCTAGTACTTGTTACATCAACTAGCTCTAAAGGGAACATGGCTAAACAACGCTACGTATTAGAAGTAGTTATCCAGAAGAAAAAGTATTTTCAGTTACAGTCCTTTCTGGTTGAGGTATGTCTAAATCTTCAGTTATGTAGGTGCCAGATCCCATTTAAGTCAAATTAGTGTTCTGACCACTTGTAAGAAGATAACAGAAGTCCTTGGAAAGGACTCTGATAAGTACATTTAACTTTAATATGTTCACATTCAAATAATAAAACTGGATTAGTTCTGATTGTTTTAAGATTATAGTTTTTGATTAATGTTTCCATACTAGTCCTAAAACCCCCTGCCCTGCCTATGTATTCATTTACATTCATTAATTCTCTTAAACAGCGGGGAAGAGTGGCTCTTGGTTAATCTGATGGAGTGTATTCTGCACTACTTTTGGTGAAGCATCCTTTCCTTGACGTACATTCCTTTTTCTGCAGTTCCAGTCAGTGTTATAAAAGCTGTTCTGTTCATTCACGGGAAACTGAACACATTTACCTAAAGAAAGGCGTACTTTAAATAGCTATATTCAAGGCACATATCACATCAGGTACCAGTTCCTTTTCTTCCTATAGTTTAGCAGCAATTATCTTGAGATAAACCACATTAGGTGGCTTGTGCTTACCTTGGCAGATGCGTGTTCAGCTATTGCTTGGCAGCAGTAAAGGCTCTACCATGAGCTGTTACAATTCAATTGGCAAGCTGGAAAAAGAAGGATGCTCAGCTGGCTTTAAAGTGTCTTTTGTCCACCAACCACTAAGTAGAAGTCAGCTTGCTGTGTTGTGCCAGGGTAGCTTCCCCCACTTGACTAGATTAAATACTAGTTGGGATTTACAACAGATTCCAGTTGAGGCGCTTACAAATAGTGTGAATATTGTGTTTCAAGGAGACCAGGGTCGTTTATCCCAGTTAAATGGCAAGAGATTAACAGCTCAGGGCACTTTGTTAGTGTCAAGCTTGGAATGGGCCGACTTTTGGTTTGAAATTAACAGCCTGAACGGTTTATTTGAACAACTTTCTCTAGATTTCAGGAGGTTTGTGACAATTAAGAAGGAGAAAAATGTGAAAGGATGGCTTTCAGTCCAACAGTGAGTAATATTTAAGCCAACTGAGATCAGAATAATGCTTGGTTCAATTTCACGGTTGGTTCAGGGGCAGCAGTGATGTATCGCTCGTAAGCTGTGCCTCATATTTCAAATGCTAGCTGGAGAATTTCTTACAGTGAGTGGTTATGCTGGAGTCAGGAGATCACAAATATGGATAAGGGGCCTTTCCTGGATATTCAGCAGTAAGTTTGATGTTCTCAAATCCGGTGATGTTTAGCCTTCATAAACACAAAGGGATTTAAGCTTTATGTTTTAAAATCTGGTGATGTTTTAGTCTTCCTAAACACAAAGGGGTTTAAGCTTTATGATTTTATTGTCTGCAGCACAATAAAAGGACATGACTTTGCTTTTAACTGGGCCTGTTGTTTGAAGGTTCGCTAGACTCTGCAGATGCTTAACATACTCATAATTCTGTTCATACGTGGTTGCAGTGCTTCAAGCTTTTATAGAACTTCCTTACCCTACAGTAGTGGGATTTACTGTAGGTTGCTAAATCAGGAGCAGGTTTCTCGGTGCTTAAAACCAATTAATTTGTCATCTACATTTAGAAGCATTAGGATGGAGGTGGAGGGGGGTTTGGCAGAGATCTTTTTTAGTATTTTATACTAGCTCCTTGCAAAGACTAAGGTGAATGGCTGAAGGGGTCTGAGCTGTTCAATTGAGGTGTAACCACCCCAGATGCACTGACAAAAACACACAACTGCATCCTCCTTTGCTTCTAACAGCCAGAGCTGTATTAGTGAAACACTTTTCTTTAGACCAGATTTGAATTGAGAGATGTTGTTGGAGACTCAAATGTTAACAGTTATTGGTGCCTTCCCTCTGAGGGAGGAACGATGTGTTAGTCCCTCTGAGCATGAGAGTTCCTTTTAAACCACCACGTTCCTTGGAGGGTGCTGCAGCAGTGTACTTCTCTGGGTAAACAGAACCATGCGTTGACATTGAGCTGGCTATTTGGTATGCTGAATATTGAAAGCATGCCCATGTGAGGCAATTGAGGCAATAAAGATAGCGTTGCCATACTGAGTAAAACCACACGGTGGTAATTAAACACTATTTGCATTAAAATAGTTTGTTGTGAGTTCTCTCTTGCTGCATTATTATGTATGAAGATATTATATCCTGTCTAGCAGTTTGTTGCTAGTAACAAAAGATTGCAGACGAAAGCATATTGGGAGAGTATTATGGTTTCCTGTGCGAGTTCTATCATTTTTAATCGTTTGCTTAAGTGTCCTTTTGGCACAGTTTAGTTTAACTCCCCTGGGTTAGCATATGAGAGACACCAGGAATCCATTTTAGTTTGTTAGAGAGGCAGGATTCAGAAGTCTAGGTTAGCCTTACATCTCCACCTCTTTTGACACCCTGCTTGTCTAATATAAAAAGAGCAGGAAATAGCAGGACTCAGCTGTGTTCTAGCTGTAGAATATACTTTGCTGTGATTGCACAGGCATTTATTTCACAAGTTGTAAGTACTTGATCTCTTGAAGACCAAAATCTGGGTTATGTCACCTGTTGAATGCTGTTTGATACATTTGTTTTGACCTTTAGCAAAGAATTTCTTGACTATACATCATTTGCTGAAGATGATTCTTCTGTCTGGTAAGGAGCAGTTTTAAGGCCCTCTAGGTGAATGTTTTCCATAGTAAGGAGCTAGATGTGTACAACCTTCCCGAATTGGATCTGGGAAAATAACACTAATTTAAAAAGCAGCAGTGTGTGGTATCGTAAGGGGTTTTTTGAAGTAGCAGCTATACGTTGTCCAGAACTATTTAGGTGAAACTGATGTATGTGGAACTTCAGCATGAAGAGAACTAGACCAAGAGAAGCAATATATTCAAATGTCAGCAAGTAGCTGTTACACCACATGTCCTGCTTCTGTGGACTACAAGATGTATTTGTCTTTGGAGAGCATAACATAAAGATAAATACTTAATAATCAAGGCTCTCTTGCACTGGATGTCAGGTAGTAGACGATAACCTAGTAGATATCATCTGATTTTGGTTTGTGTCTTTTGTGATAACTATTTTTGTGTAGAAATTAGTATGAATTTTGTATAGAAATTGCTTATGTTTGATCTCTTTTCCACCTGTTCTCTCAATGATAAAAAAACTCTATACAAGACAAAATGCTGAAACTAGAAGCAGCCTTCACATTCTGAACAGTCCACCAACTGCATCCCAGGTTTTCCAAGCCAGAGAGGAGTAAACAAGCCTTTGTGTTTCATGCAGGTTTTCATGTTGTCACACTTGGCACTGATGGCAGTGGCTCCCCATCACTGTTAGAAGGTTTTTGAGTTGCACTTCGGGGACATCTTAACTCCCAGCATAGTTAAGAGACTAATTTAGATTCTCTGAGTTACTTTTGGGAAGCCTGCAGGGACACTGAACTCTTCTGAACATACTTAGCCTGGACTTTGTCTCAAAGGTTTGATTTAGTAAAATGCAGATTCAGATTTAGAAGAATGAAAGAGGAAAGCATTGAACTCAGTATTCTAAAGCATTTTCAAAAGAAGTTTTCAGGTTCAAACAATTTGACTTTGTACTTTGTTTTCTTTTCAGTTAACAAGCATAAGCCATGGATTGAAACAACCTATCATGGTATAGTTACAGAAAACGACAACACAGTGCTCCTGGACCCCCCTTTGATAGCCCTGGACAAAGATGCACCTCTGCGTTTTGCAGGTAAAGAATTCATCTGCATTTCTTTTCTAAGAAGTGGAAATGCTTTCTTGAGGATGAATGCTGTGTGTTACTTACTGTGTTTTCCCTAACGGCAACATAATGCTTCAAAGCTTTTAGACCCCAGGAAATGTTTGTGCATGGACCTGAGTTTTATTTCATATTTACAGCTGTAAATATACAGCTGCAGCTAAGTAGCCAAACCAGAGAGTGCTCTATATTGCAGGTATTCCGTGTTTCTTTCAATGTCATGTGCTTATGTGAATTCTGCTTTTGGGGGAGTTTTGTGGTTTTGTTTTTTTGGGGTTTTTTTTTGCGTAGTGTCTTACCTTTTCCTTCATCCTCCGAATTCCACATTTCACAGCATTCAGTCTGGGACTTCTGAAACAATTATTTTCTTACCATTCTGAAGAGAGTTTTAGCTTTTCTTAGTGGTTTTGATTTGTTTCTTAATAGATGGAAAACAATGATGAGCAGAATTAAGACTGCATTTCTGTGATCAGTTGGCTTAGCAGTTTGGGGTATTTTTCCATATGGCACAGCCTCTTCTACCCCTAAGAAAAGGTTTTTTTCTCCTCTAGCAAAGAATATAGAGAATGATACATGGAAGATTTGCAAAATGTAGGGTGATTCTTCAGTTTCAACATAGGACTGACAGATGAGAGTTTTCTTACAAACTTCTGCAGTAGTTTTTTTTTCTGGAAACTGTATTAAAAATGCAGTATTATGGAAAACACTCTTTTGGTTTAACAGAATGTGAGAAAACTCTGAGGAACACCATTGGGCATCTGCAGGTACTTAAATGAGTTGTAGTGGACAACACAAGCTTAAATTAGACACTTGCAGAAGTTTACTTGGTTAGGTAGAGTTTTAGAGTTAAGAATCCCAGTAACATACTTAGAGGATGTGACAGTAGGTGTTTTGGGGAACATTGCTTAGCCTGGCTTCAAGGAAGAAGTGATAGAACAAGAGGATGATTAAATCAACAGCCATTTCACATGTTCAGCGTGCTGACTGCATGGTGTGCTACAGTATTATGGCAACTCAGTCACAATTTGTTCAAGTGGTACTTAAAGTAACAGGTTTGAGGCTGTAATTTCTCCAAGGCTGCTTCACAAATACAAAAAGTTCAGAGCTAATGGTAAACCTCTGAAAATGAAACTTCTTTCAGGTGTTGGACACACATAGCAGAGGTTATTAAGTAATCCTAACTAGAAGTAAAACTGCTCTCTAGGAAATGAGAAGTCACAAAATGAAGAAGCTTGTGCTGGGAAACGTGTTTGTAAGAAGAGGTTTAAGAAGGTTGACTTGCATCCGTGGAGATCAGGGGAATGTGAATCATCTCTCACAGTTCCCAAGTGCTGTAGGCGCTGGGAGTTTGGCAGCATGGATCAGATTTTGAAAATGGCAGGTTTATACCTCTCAGTGGATAGCAAAGTTTTCTTGAGTGCTGGATGTCGTGAAGCTTTGAGAAAGCACTGGCAGAATATCTCCAAATACACTGTCAAATTTGCAGAGGAAAATCCAATGTCAAGGCATCTCTTCAAATGAGAGGTGCTTTTCCATTGTGTCGACGTGAATTGTGTAAACCTGCTTTATTTAATGAATATTTTTATCAACTGGGTGTTGGTTTTATTAAACATTTATATAAAGATTATATTTTGGCTTTCAAAAACTAACGATTTTTAAGCAGCAGCAGAACAAGGCTTTAAAACAGTGACATTTTAAGTCCAGCACACTAACTTTTGTAAAGAAATGTTCCTCGATGTGACTCTGTTGGATTTGAATTGCATCAATTTTGAATGACTGTGCTGTGGGAATCTATAAAAGTATTTGTCTCCCATTAAATGGAACAATACTTGAATCTGTCTTTAAGGAGACCAGATGTGGGAGACATGTTGAATCAGCATTATCAGTTCTAGCTGCTTGTGCTGTAGTCATGTCCTGGAGCGGAGCATAGCATTGTTCTTGTCCAGCAGCATCTATGTGGGTGTGGAAGTGTGAGAAGCCCATTAGATCAGTGACGTGTTTTCACAGCAAAACAAAGCAGTTTGGGGATTAAGTGGCTGTTTCAGCCCTAACTGGATATTCCTACTTATAAATCAAATTTATTCAGGCTTCAAAAGGTTGATATTTAATTAACTGTACCCCCCAGCTGAGCTGTGAAGCTTCTGAACTGTCTGCAGGTTTAAAATACTTTAAGTAGAGCTTTTTGCTTTATTTCTGTTTTGAGATGTTGAAACATCTTGAAACTAGTTCATTTAAATGCTTTGTAGTAAGATGAACTGTGGGGCAAGCAAAAGTAATATTTTATTGCTTTGCTCACTCTGTGCTGTGGGTAGGATCCTAAAATTCAGGCATACAAAAATAAGTAGGGTGATAAAGTCATCTATTTCTAGGGTAATAGAGATGGTTTTAAATCTGGAATGACACACTTCTGAAAATGGAGTTTGAATATAGTCATGGCAGGTTGTCTCACCATATTGCCCAACATGTAGAGACCCTATGGAGTCAGCCTTTTGTACCATGAGTGTTACAGATCTGCTTGAGAAGACAATGACCATTCTCATTCCTCAGTGAAACTTTCCTACTTTACAAATTGAGTCATATTGGAATTTGATCTTAAATGGTTTTGCTGCAAAACATAAAGGACAGCTACGTTTTTTTATTGTATGTTAGAGTAGTTCATGTCTAAAATCAGCTTGATGGCTGAAGCTCTCAGTATGGATTTCCCCTTTACTATGCAAAAAGGAACTGAATTTTTACTGCATTCTGGATGCCTTCACATAGATGAATGTTACGAGAGCATAACACAGGGTCTCGCTAGCAAGGTGTTTGAAATGTTTCCTTATTGGTTTGATGTGTCTCTAATAGGGTTTGAATCCCTCTTCCCCACCTCACCCCTAGAGAAAACCACTTCTCAGCCACAATACTTCATTTTCCCCTTACGAATCTGGGATGCAAGAAGTATTTTTGTGGGGGTTAGGAATTTTTTGACTTAAGAGCATGAATATGCGTAGAGCAAGCAATGATCTTGCAGAGTCTCTATTCAGGCTTTAAAACAAACCTTAAAAATCCACCCAGAGGCATGTGGGATTCACATGTGTAGTGGGCA